GAAGTCAATGCCTTAGTATCTCATATCTTGGTTAGGTTTAATTTAATTGTTATTTTCCTTTTATTATCTTTTTAGTTAAACTTTCTTCCCATTTGATTGTTCAAATAAATTTGGATTAATTATTTTGGTACTTAGTTAGACACAATTCTCGTGGGTTCGACACTCTTCTCATTATTATATTACTTGGAGCGACTAGTACATTTACTAGGGTGATTTTAGTGCATCAAGTTTTTGGTGCCGTTGTTGGGGATTGTTGATTTAATTAATATCGAAATTGGTTAATTCTAGATTTAATTTGAACGTTTTCTTTTCTTTCATTTCTTTACTTTGACTTTTTTTTTTTTGTTTCTTTTGTTTTTGTTTTTGTAGGTTTAACTATGGATTGAGTTGTCTTAAACACTGATGTGGATTATCAATGGCTTGTGCCGGAGATGAGGGCACACAAGTTGAAGCAGTAATTATCTTGCTAGCAGAAATTGACGATGATGAACTTGAACAATTTCAAGCAGTCATTGAAAGGATCAAATTAAAGAAGGCTATAGTAGAACGATTAAATATCACTTGTCAATGGTGTGGATGTGACCATTTTAGTTATGATTGCTATTTTTAACAATCTAACAAGTGTGTTGATTTTTCTGGTGATTTTCATAGCCAACAGTATAATTCTTATCCCAATACATGCAATGTTGATCCAAACACCTCATGGAATGATGAAGATATATTGGAGCCACAATCAGGGTTTCAAGCTCTAGAAGAGGAGATATGTTTGAATAAAAATCTGGAGGTTCAATCAAGTCATTTGCTCAACTTAGTTGCTAAAGAGATACAAGGTGAGTTATCTAGTGCAACAATGAAAAATCAAGAAGAAGAGGTAAACACTTTACTTTTGGAGATTGAAGGACAATTTGGAGAAGTAGAAATTATGCCTGCATAAACTAAATAAGAGGATGTCCCTAAGGAGGAAGAGGAAAAAGCTCAAGTGTCATTTGAAGTGTTCAATGGGGAGTCTCCTTTAACCAAATCTGATTTTAATGATTATTTTGTTATTGATATGGTTGATGAGATTTTGCAGAAAAACACTTATGATGATCCATTTGAGATTTACTTTATTCAAGCAAAGGACCCAATCAAAGAATACATAAATTGCTTGAACACCTCATCTTCCTTGGAATCAAAGGGGGCACTCCTAGAAGAATTGGGAAGGCACATCTGCTGGCCTAAACCCAAACCACCTCAAAATAGTATGTGGAGAAAATCTTATGGTGGATTCAACTTAAGGGCAAGAAAGCCAAGATTTAAGAAAACGAGAGGACATGCCCTACGACCTAATCCAAAACCACCTTGGAGTGGTAGAAAGTCTAGCTAATGACTATAAATTAAGCGCTTCTAGGGAGGGAACCCAAGCATAAAATTTTCTTTTCTTTTATTTTTCTTTTATAGTTCAAATTTTTTTTCAATTTTTTTCTTTTTCTCTTTATGGCCTAGGTTAATGCATAAATTGTTGTTCTTTGATTTTGGCCAGGTCATTGAACAAGTTTGGGGGACAAGATTATGGAAATTCACATGCTAGAAGTCTCCTCCAAATGAAGACAACTCAACTTCAAAACTTCAATTTTAAGTCTTCAAGTGCAAAACCTGGGAAGTTTCTCTTTTCTCTTACTTTTATTTTACATTAAGGACAATGTTTGATTTAAGTTTGGGGGAGAGATACCCTTTTAGGCATTCATTAGTTGCATTCATATTTGCATAATATACATGTTTTTTAGAAATTAGGGAATTTTTTTTAGGAATTGGTCCAATTAGTGTCAAGGAATTGAATATTCTTGAGTTAGAGCTTTTAAAATCTTTTAATTTTAGAGGAGATACAAATCTGAAAAATAACACCATTGTGATGAAGTTTAAGTTCATGAGTATTATATTCTATTTAAGCACAAGTTTATAGTGAGCAGTTTAGAGAGAAGACTTAGTAGCATCTAAAAAGCACAAAAAAAAAAAAAAACAAAAAAATAAGAAAGCCAACACACAAAAGAGTTTATTAATTTCTACTCCAATGTTTCTAGTTGCTTAGTAACTACGGGTTAGGCATGAAACCCATGTCAATTTTCACGTCAAACGGTGACTTGAAATATGAGTATGCAAAGCACTTTAAGTTTGACTTGTTGAGTAATCGGGTGCTTTCATTACAAATATTAGTATTCGCATCAAAAGACAAGTGATAACTTAGGGAAGAATGTGT